ACCTCGCTGGGAATTGCCAGATGAATGTAACTTTTTTTTTCCTCCCCTTCAGATGCAAAATGAGACAGGGTTGTCCTCATTGTCACTTGTGTTCCCTAACATGTAAAAAAATTGTTTTGGTTCAATATAAACTCTCTTCTGAAGGATGGTGACATTAAGAACACTCTTGGTGTGTGCTCTGTTCATACGTTATTCTGTTGGCTGCCTGCTATCACTGCCACTTAGGCTGCATGTTATAATTCCTGGATATTACCTTAGTGCCTTCTGCTCTAAACGAATCCAAGGTCAAGAGCATTTGTGGTTTGCAGTTCTGTTAATCAGGGAATGCAGAAGAGTTGAATGTTTTCTCCCTTCTCTCTCCAGACAGCCTGCCTGCGTTCCCCATTGCCATGGTGGCAGGGATAGTCATCGGTACGGTTACAGGTCTCTCACCGCTCATCTCTATTGTCGTGTGTCTTGTCATCAGAAAGAACAACTCTAAAAAACGATACTCTGGGTAAGAGATCTCCCTCCTCACCTGTGGATGATGTGAGGAACAGCAGCAGGACCAGAGGGAGGGCTTAGAGGGGGGTAGGAGTTGTTTTCAGCCAAGTCTTGGCAACCATGGCTAGAGATAGGGTATGGCCATGTGGAACACTGGTCATCTGCCTATAATGATTATCTTTGTACTGTGCTTGAAAAGTCCTACTGACCATGAGTTGCACCTGAAAATCACTAAATGTTGGAGTTGATCCCCAGCCACAGGCGTATATGCCCTACAAACATTTAATCCAAGATCCCCTAGCTCTGGTTTGTTCCCCTTCCCTTCCCTCCCAGCCCTGCTTCCTCCTACCACCCCAACCCCAAAGGAAAGGTGCCACAGATGCACTTTTAGGGAATGCTCTGTGTTGAGATTCAGACTGGATTTTTCAGTTACCAGTGTCTGTCTCCTGAACCTGGACTATACTTGCCAAAACCCCATTCATCACCACACTTCACAGGAAGGAAGGAGTAGCCACTCTACATCCATTCTCATTCACTGGTTGGTTTTTGTTAAGTGCTACCATCCCTGAAAAGTTTTTAGCGTTAGGAGGATAACTCCGAAGTGAAGCACAGATCTCCGAGTGGGCATGGGAAAAAGCAACAAGAACTGACAAAGGCAGACTTGAGTCCTCTGATGGGAGAGGTGCTTCCTTTTTTTCTCCTCTCTAATTAGCTGGTAATTTGCTTCTATAAAAAAGAATGAAAATTATGTATGTAGTCTTAGAAACAAACCCCAAACGTATAACTTTCTTCTGTGCTTTCCCCAACGAATATTCCTGCTTCCTGCAGGTTCTTTGGGTTGCCCGTGGGATAGAAGAAATTAACTCCAAAAATAAACTTGTGGGGATTTCTAAATTAAATTTTACCCTGTCCTTTTCCCAGTTGGAGAGCTTAGAGAAAGTGAGTTGGCTATTGCCCAGTGGTAAGGCTAAATATAGCAAAGGCAATGGTTGTGTGCTCAAAACTGTGTGGAAAGCCTGGTTTTCCCTTTCTGCATGTGTCCTTCCCCTACGAACTGAGAAGCCTGCAGCGTCACGCACCAGCAGCGTGTGTGAGGTGATCCGCTTGCCTTGCTTCCCCCTGAGCTGCTCTCCAGTGTCCTCCAGCTGAGAGACATGTGCTGTTGCTGAGCCTGGAGCAGCAGTTCATGTGCTGTAATTTCTTGTAGTAGATTTAACTGCTCTCTCGGGACAGTAGTCTCGGAAGTTTGAATACCGCTTTCACTGACCGTACCAGCTCTGCATGATGTGTAAAGAGAAACCAAGCGTACCGTGACCCCCTCCAAACTTACGGACTGTCTTCTTCATGATGCTAACCCGGTGCGTGGTGGTGGTGGTGGTGGTGAGATGCACTTACTCTTAGATAACCCTTCTGCCTTGAACTGAGGTGGGCCGGGGCACTGCGCGGCGTCTGGAACCCCTGCATGGCCACAGTCTCCATTCATGCTCTGACTTTGGTGTTTCTTTTGTTTTGTTTTTATTTTTCTTTCTGCCTTGGCGTGCTGGGATCGGATCCTGCTTATCTTCCTCTCCTTACAGAGATCCTGATATAGACGCCAGATTGGGAATGTAACAGGGCTGGGTCTTCTCTTCCAGTCCCACTAGACACCATGGTAACTAATCAAGTTGGTGGTTGCTGTTAATACCTGTGTGTATGTGTACACGTTTCCTCTTCCTTTGCTGACTAACCAGCTAGCTCTCTACTAACATAACTTCACTGTAATTTGTGCTGGAATCTGTTGGCAAAGGGATGATGCATTTCACTGGGTGCTTGGGTTTCATTGTCTCATGTCTGACTGGGGTGGGATTGCTGCTTGTCCCAGGCGATGTCCCTCCATCTCTTCCAACAGTGAACTTGCCAGAGCGTTGACTAAAGCCCAGGAAATTCAGAGCCCTTTCTGTGTCTAAAGAAAAGTAGATTCCCTGTAAGTGTTCCTCTGGCTCAGATGTTCGAAAACTTGCAGTGAGCTAAGTGCATTAGTTGCTTAAACCTGAATTATGACTTTTAGATACTAAAGATCTGAGGAATTTTTTGAATAAAGCAAACGATGATACCATCACTCTGGTAACAGAAGAGCTGCTGTGTCTCTGTTTGAGACAGTAGAAGCCCCTTGCCATGATGGCTGGGGCCAGTATTTTTATTTTAATTTTTTTCTTACTGCTGCATGTATGAGGAGCTAAGTCTTCTCTGGGTTAGACTTACCAAAGGATGACAAATGATTGCCCTGTGAGGAGGTGGGCTGCTTAGTGTCACTGTCCTCGTTTGTTTCTGTACTTGCTTTGTACACTGTCTGTCTCCAAAGATTGGGGGAAAAGGATGCCCAGTGGTCAGAGGGTTGTGGTAGCAAAGGGACCTCCTGTCTCTGCTGTCAGGGAGGTGGCTAGTTTGCTTTCCTGGGTGCCTGGGAACAAGGAGGTAGACCTAGCATTTAGACAGCCATGACTGCATTGCCCAGAAGCTACTGATGTCAGGGTTAAGGGCGTTTGCTCATATACTCAACTCTGTGGTATCCATTTCTCTGTCTGTCACTGGCTTCTCTTCTTTTCAGTCCTGCTTTAAGCAGATGGAAAGAAACAGAGAGTGAAATCTGGTAACCTTCTTTTAGGGGTGTTGGGTCTCACCATAAGACAGTTTCTTGTTTGAAATACAAGATTTGCCTGATTAGATACAGATAGATATATCAGAGCCCATAGGTTACATGACACGTGACTCTTAAGGCTACAGAAACCAGTGTCTCTGCTGAGTGGGCAGAATTGTTTTGGGATAGTAGCCTAACCAGAAGCAAGGGAACTCACAGAGTTTGGTAGGAAGTGCCTCTCTGGTATAGAGAGCTGGTGGCTCTTGCAAGTGTTTGCTATAACTGTAGCACTGATACAACACTGGCCTCAGTGACTGGGACTGTTTAGCTTATAGCTAGAAGGTAATTGCCATTTACCACTGTTAAGTGAGTCTGAAGCTTCAGTGAAGAAAACACGTCTGGTTTTAGGCAGGTTGTGTTGAATGGGAATATCTAGGGAACAAGGATTTTGGAGGAGCTGCTGTCCTATGTTAATAGTTGTTCCTTCAAGTTGCTTACGATTGAGACTCTGGGAGGAAGGATAGAGAAATGTTTGGGGAGAGATGGAGAATTTTATGTGTTTATTTCAGAATCCATGATGTTTGTTTTTACTTTGGCATAATCTGCCACATTCATCTTGCCATCATTCGTTTTTTTGTTTTCTTTTTTGTTTGTTTGTTTGTTTGTTTTTTGTGCCTCTTGAACATTGTCGTGCAAACTCTGCTCTGCCACCTCGTCAGCTGCAGTACATCTGAGAGCTTGATGGCACCGGTTAAACAGGCTCCACAGAAGTCGCCTTCCGACACAAAGGGTCTGGTAAACAGCGTGCCCGCCAGATCACACCAGGTAAACTGCTTCCTGCTGCTTCCTGAAGCAGGATCCTCCCAGAGTGTGGGGGGAAATGGTATGGAAAAGATAAAGGCAGGGTGGGACACATGGATTAGGTGCTGTCTGTTAAGGTGATGAGGGCTTGGGGGGTAAAAGTGTCTGCTTCAAACAAGGGATGGGCAGTAAGGTGGGACTGGTGGACTCCTCTGTAGAAGGTTTAGTGCAATTGAAAGAATAGCATCTTGATATTAGTTGAGGTGGAGTTTTATGCCCTTTTTGTACTAAAAAATATATAATGTGTAATGTTCTGATCTTGTGCGTTAACATAGACAAGGGGTAGTGAAGTGCAAGGACGAGGAGGGGGCAGTGGGTGGCTGTTTAATGTGGAGACATTATCTACTAGGTGTGTAATCACCCCATAAAGCTGCCTGATCTGTTCTAGGATTGTAATGGGGAGGAATTTTACTTGCTCTCTCATCACTGTGAAGGCACATGATCTGTGGCACGTACGTCCTCAGAAGGACATGAGCCAGCGCAAGGCAAACGCTGACCAGCGATGTGCAGTTTGAAGATGACTCTTTCTGCTGAGAGCTCCCCTCTGCTGAGCCACCCAGCTTTTGTGGGCTTGAAATTAGCAAGCTTTGTCTTGTTTTTGCTGCTGTTGGCAAAGTTCTGCTGACTTTGAAGGAAGAACGTGGCTCTTATTCAGACTTAATATCCCACGGGAAATTAGTCAAGAGGGGAGCAAGCATGAGTCCAGCAGGGATATGTGATTACCTGTTAAAAGTGCTCAGGATTTCCTTATTTGTAAGCTGTTTCTTACCTCTTAGTTTGTATATCCCCCACAATTTTCCTGTGGAGGCACAGATCCTGAGTGAGTTTAAGTCCAAAATGGACTTTTTCTTAATTAGTCACCTTTTAGCAGTGGCTGCAGATTAGCGTTGTGAACTGACAGGTTTCTAAATCAGAATTGATATCTGGTTTCTTAATTTCTCCTGACAAAATAATGGGGATGTCTGTTCATGTGTTAACACTACAGGAGAAAAATACAGTGCTAAGAGTGAGCTGGATAAAGTCAAAGTCCCTGCTCTGTTGGGCTTCCAGTCTGGTTTGGAAAGGCATCTTGTTCCTGGGCAGGTGCAATATTCCCATAGTTTTAGCACATAGGCCCACAAAGCTACCTCCTGACTTCAGAGAAGCGTTATTCTCTGAACACAAAGGCAATATACTCAGTTATAAGATTTAAAAATAGTTCAGATTTTGACTGGAGTGGGTCTAGTAGCAGCAGGCTGCCTGTAAGGCCCAGATAAAGCTTGGCTTTTCTAGTTCATGGGAGGTGCTTCTAGAAATAAGACAGGGGAAGTGATTCCTGCTCTCTCCCAGAAAAAAAGAGGAAAAAAGTTTATGTGTGGGATGTATATTGCAGTAGCTGTTGGAGTCAACTTCCTTAGGGTAAAAGACCAAGATGTACCATGACAATAATTAGATAAAATAAAGCAGTACAGACAAGTGCCTGGAGAGCTGCACGGAGGAAGAGTTTTGCTGTTCTGTACTTACACCTTGAAAGCAAAAATACTTTTATCTCCTCTGTAATGTTTTGGTGTGAAAACTTGCTGTGTCCTCACCCTTCCATGTCCCCAGTGTTCTGGGTCTCTATGTACTGGAAGGAACATGTCAGAGTAAATCTAAACTTGGGAAAGATAACTCAGAATCAATGTGCTTTTGCCCTCCCGTAGTCACTCGAGTTTGCTTATTCCTTGACAGAGTCCTCCAGGGTTTTCCCACAGGTAAGTTTGTAAAAGAAAACCCAAAGCGTGAACACTCCTGATCTCAAAGGAAAACTGTGGAAAATGGCTTTAGTTTTGTTTAGTTTTAGTTTAGTTTTTTAATATCTTTTGTCAGGCAAAGAGAGCTTTATCTGGATTTTCTTTTCTTGGCAAAAGTTTGTAGCAGCAGGTGGTTCCTCTACTTTCTCCCTCATCTTTACAGAATAGCAAGTAAATATATTTATTCTTCTTTAAAAAGATCCACAATAAAATCAGGGTAGTTTAGATTTTGAACAGATGGTTTAAATCAGTGAGGAAACTGACTTTCAATTGATGACATTTATATTTCTAACTTCTAGCCTTTTTTTTAAAAAAAAAAAAATCAACATGCAGATTAATATATTTGAAATCTAGCATCATATATAAATAAAACCTGATATTTCTTGGTAATCAAGAAATTAGTTGTAGTATTCAAGGTTTTGAGCTGTTGTGTAGGTGAAATGCTGGTATTCAGATTCCTAGCAATTCCCAGGAGCTGCTTGCTGATTCAGGCACACTTTTGTGTCTGGAGTTGCCTGGCAGTTTTAGACCAGTGGTTGACACAGTCAGTGCTGCCATCAGGCAGTGAAGTCCTGTAAGCTTCCTTGTAGCCTTCTACTTGGTAGGGTGTGTAGGAAGTGACCAAAGCTTTGTGCTTCACTGGTAGAGAAGAACTGTGGCTACAAATACACAACCTCTGCCTCTGCAAGTTCAAAACAGTTCCCTCTCAAGAGTGGCATTTATATTAAATTGATTAAATTAAGTTTATTAATTTGGTTATTTAGGTATCAATTTAAGAAGCAGTGATGAAGTATTTGTCCACATCACTTCTCAGCTGAAAGTGCACTTGAGCCTGTGCTTCCTTTGGGTGCAAGTTTATCAAGTGTGGACCTTGCTTTCTGGGGTGCCCCAGAGTGCTGCAAGTTTGCATATCTGCTTCTGTGAGTGTGCAGCTGGTTGAATCAACTCCACTCGTTTTCACTGTGTCTGCCTTCTCAGCAGGTACGTTCTGTCCTGTCAGATTTGTGTGTGGCGTTTCTTTTCCATACCATCATTCCATAGTGACTTGTATTCTACTATGACTGTTACCTGCATGAGTGAGAAAAGCATTTCCAGTGAAGGCAAGAACTGTATGTTTCCCAGATGGATGTCTGTGTTTAGTAATCTGGGTTGCAGCAGGCAAACTGGAAGGTAGATGCATGTTATCCCAAGATAGGCTGACTCCGAGGTGGCTGGTGTTTGTCTTTGTGCTTTGCAAGTAGCTGAGAATTCATTTCTGGGCAGGCTGAAGGACTGATCTTGAAGTGTAACTTCCATAAAAGTGCATTTCTGCTGTACAGAGTTGTATGGTATAGAGATCCTAAGAAGGTGGGTCTGTCAGGGTAGAAGTCAAGAGCTGCTCAAGCAACATTAACAAGTGCAGATCTCTGCCTTTGCTCTTCTGATGTAGGACATACCTGAACAGACTCTGTTTGAGCTCTCATCCAGGCTTTGAACTGGACCCCAGGACCCTGGAAGGAGCAGTTCATGGTGTTGGGAATCTTGCCTTAAATTTCAGATGAATCTCCTGGAGCTGGAATCGGTGGTAGTTACAACATCTTTCAGAATCTAAAAAAATTTGAAAATACTATAGACTCCTGTTAGAGCATGATGGTCTTTGTAATTCCTTTTTCTTTGCTGGAACTTGCAATTGATGACTCCGCTGACAAACCTTTAGCAAGGGATCAGGACACCTGCTACTCTTTCACCTTTGGTTCTGAATGGGAAAATTGCAAGTCCTAGGGAAATACTGGGTTTTATATGGCAGTGCTGGTCAGTCTTCTGGTTCTGAAGAGTCAGGATGAGCTTATTTGGGATTAGATTAAAGTTCTGAATTGTTTAGACTTTTTTGAAGCTTTTACTTGTGGAAGAAGAGTCTTTACAAAGATTTAGATCACTGGAGGTATCAAATGCACAGAAAAAATGACCCTGGTGTGGGTTATAATCAGCTAGAAAATCATTTGGCAGCAAATCATAGATGGAACATTATAATAAATCCTTGGTCCTTTTCTCTGTTAGTTAATCTACCAATTCTTTAGGTGATAGTGAACACATTGAGACAATGATAGCTTGGTTTGGATCAGGTGATCACAGCCATCAGTCTCTCCACCACCACCTAAAATGCTGGTTGCAGCAGAATAATTGTATCTAACCTGGCATAAAATTAGAATAGCGGTAAGGTAACTGATCCTGAGTGAACTCTTGTGGTTGAAAATTGACCCATCAGAATTACTTGAACGAAAATTGAAATGTCGTAGTGAGAACTTTATGCACTTGTAGATTTATTTTTTTTTAACTGATAGGAAGTCCTCTTGAGTGGAATTTATCATACCCTTGACCTATGGCTTCAGGCAGATGAGACTTCCAAAATTGCTTACAAATAAACCTTAGGTTCACTTTGCCTTGAAGTTTGCATAGACACTGCACAGTAATTGGAATTAGTAATGTAATCCTGATACCATATTGGAGACCAGAACAACATGAGAGCCAGTAGTGGCGGGGGGGAAAGTGCCTCTAATGAGACTTTAAATCTAGGATTTTTTTAGACATCAGTGCCTTTTTTTTTTAAGAGAATTTCCTCAATCTGTTATTTATATTCAGCATTTTATATCTCATGAGTTTTTATCCTTTTATCCATCTCCTTCCTCTGTTCTTTTTCTTTATTATTTGGGAAACGCTTTCCCTGGAAGGAAGAAACTTTGGATTTAAACTACCTCTGAAAGAGAACAAAGTATTTAGGAGGCACGTGCTTTGCTGTTGAGTTGTGGGGGGAAACAGCTGTGCAGAAATGTTATATTCAGCATTTTATATCTCATGAGTTTTTATCCTTTTATCCATCTCCTTCCTCTGTTCTTTTTCTTTATTATTTGGGAAACGCTTTCCCTGGAAGGAAGAAACTTTGGATTTAAACTACCTCTGAAAGAGAACAAAGTATTTAGGAGGCACGTGCTTTGCTGTTGAGTTGTGGGGGGAAACAGCTGTGCAGAAATGTACCTATATGGTCCTTCAAAGACTTAATTTTCTGTACAGCAGGTCTCTTTTAATCTCTGGCCCTAGCTGCTTTGGAAGATGGATGGAAGGATTTCTGGGTCAGTACCATAGAGATGTTTTCTAAATTGCCAGGATACTAAAAGTACTGGGGAGAAGGGGGTGGAAGAAATGCATGTGAAGGCTACTTCTTCTTGGGACATGGATGAAATGGTTTTGAAGCAAAAACCTCTAAAAAAGCTGCAACCAAACTAAAAGGCTTCTGGTATTTTCATCCACCCCCAAACAGGACAGTCCCTTTCCCTCCTGCACGGGGAATGTGTGTGGTCTCTGCTGAGGTTACCTGGTAGGTGGTTGCAGCCTCCTGCTCCGTGCTTACATCAGTCAAGACATGCAGAATGGGAGCTGCAAGTCAGACCTTTCCATAAAGGTCTCACCCAAAGGTCTCGTTGGGTACCTGCTCTTGGGTACCAGCTGTAATCTGGTGCTCAGCCCATCACGAATAGCTGCAGTTCATTTTCCCATGGGCTGTGTTTTGGAGGATGTGGTGTTTTAGGAAGGTGCTCACGTGTTTGCGTGCTCTACTACAAGATGGTGCTGTGATCTCCTCCACTGCACCCCGGCAAATAGAACGAAGGTGTGTGGCTGTGCTTGCCCCGTGTGTCTGTGGAGGTGCTCACTACCTGGGCTGGCTCGAATGTCTGGTAAGAACTGTGCGTTACAGCACCTTTTGAGGATTTTCTGGCTCGCTGCTGCCTAAGTCTCGATCCCATCACTTGCTTGGGCTGTGACTGGTGTCAGAAGGTGGCTGCAGGTTTGTTCTCTCCTTCATTATCCAACTGGTCCAGCTGTGCTGGGATTTACAGGACTTGAGTGGCAATATGGGAAGTATACTCTGCTGTTTACTGGTACAATTCCTCTTGAAAAGCTATTAAATCAGGCATGCTTCTGACTGAGCCATGTATCTTTGCTCCATAGCAGGTAGGACTTGCTGCTTTTCAGAACAAAGGATCCTAGATTTTGCTTGTGGTGAGAAGCAAGCAGCTGTGATGGTTTTAAAGGGGGGAAATGGTGCTGTTTGGCATGCTCTGACAGGAGAAAGGTGGCAGACTAGAGCTCATTCGTAGGTCAGGATTCATTCCACCTGCTTCAAAGTGCTGTTAGCAGTCATAAAAGCTCTGTGGTGTTGTTTTAGCTTTGGGCTTGCTGCAGCCCCTGTGGAAACAAGGGGTAATATGGGCTATTCTGAAATATACTGATTCTGCTTTTTTTTTCACTCTGTTCCCAGGGCCCAGTCATTTACGCGCAGTTAGATCACTCCGGAGGACAGCACAGCGACAAGATTAACAAGTCAGAGTCTGTGGTCTACGCTGATATTCGGAAGAACTGAGATCCTAAACTATCCAAAGGAAAACACGCATTCAGACTGGAATTGCTTGAACAACAATTGACCCAGAGAACTCACATGTGGCCTTTGATGCCTAGGCTAGGACCAATGCATGTGCATACAGAGGGAAAGATATATATGTATTGTGTGTAAATAGTCTATTTAATCGTCCAGAAGTGAGACCAATGTTGCATGTTGAAATGCGGTAAGAATTTTGCTTATAAATTGCCAATATTCTTTTTTTGTATCTTGTGTGACGAGAGAGAAAGTGAAAACTCGCATCACAATTTTAAAGTATTTTTATCTTGATTATTAATGGAGAAACTGGAAGATGCCTGAAGATTCTAGATTGTCCTGGAGGTTCTTTTTTTTTTTTTTTTGCTTGTAGGGCCTAATTTCTTTTGTTGAGGTGAATATAAAGAAGCTGCCTTCTTTATATTCACGGAGTTCTTTATGTATACAGGGTATTCATCTTTCCTTGGTCAGATTCTCAGTACAAGCTGCCTTCTTATATACACTAGACACTCTCACTTGGTCTTGTGAGCCAAATGGTGACTCCTAACTATCAGAAATGTATGTTTTAGGAGTGTAAGTGAAGGAAATGTGTAGGCCTGCCTGACCTGTGGAACTCAGGTCACAGAACTGTTTACTTCTCTATTGAGCCCATCTATTCCAGCTTAGTCCTTTAAGGCACAGGGATAGTGTTGATCCAATGAATTTTTTAAAATTGTAGTTTACCTGTGAAAACTTAAAGAGCCTAGTGAGTTAAAGGGGTAGGAAGCTGTAGCTGTAGGTGGTTGCCTCAGACTCTGTTGAACCTTTCGATGAAACGTTTCTTCCTCAAAGCTCTGTTATTTCATATAAGCATGAAAAAAGGGCTCAAAGGGATCTGGTAGCTGTAGTGCTCTTTCACCTCTCTCCCATGGCTCAGCTATACCACTGCCACTTCCCTAGAGATCCTTTATCTGTTCTTAAAAGCCTGTAGTGGAGGCTGAATGACCTCTGGAGGAAATTTAGGGATTCACTCTTTGGATTTTTTGGTCTGTGGTTTGGTTTTTTTTTGTGTAACCTATATTTGCACAGACGATGTGGAGGGCAGTGTATTTCCTTCCTCTCTGCCACTCTACTACTTGAATATAATTTCCCAGCTTCTTGTTTCTAGATTAAACTCCTCATGGATTGTTAAGGATCTCTGATCGTTCTCTTCTGCTGAAGAGGATATTTCTTTAGCTGATCCATTTGTATCCTGAAATGTGGTGCTCAAAACTAGAATCATAGAATCGTAGAATAGTTTGGTTGGAAAAGACCATTATGATCATCTAGTCCAACCATAAACCGAAGTGACATTCCAGCTGAGGTCTTCTCAGCGTACCAGATAGTAGAAGGATTTCTGTTTTGTACATCCTAATGTGGTGCTGGCTTTTTTGTAGGAGCAAATATTTTTCAGTTTGATCTACAATAACCCCTTCTCTCTCATTCTTACCCATTTCCTATTTCAGTCTATTTCACAGAATCAGTCACAGAATGGTTGAGATTGGAAGGGACCTCTGGAGATCACCTAGTCCAACCCCCCCACCTCAAGCAGGGTCAGCTAGAGCAGGTTGCCCAGCGCTGTGCCCAGTTGGGTTTGAGTTATCTCCACAGATGGAAACTCTGCAACATCTCTGGGCAACCTGTTGAAACTGTTTGATCACTCTAAGTAAAAAAAAAAAGTTCTTCCTTGTGTACAGGTGGAATTTCCTTTTTAAAACTTTGTCCATTGTCTCTTGTCCTGCCAGTGAGCACTACTGAGAAGAGTAGAGCTCTTCATTCCCTCCCATTCAGTACCTATGCACGTTGATAAGATCCGCTCCAAGCCTTCTCTTCTCCAGGCTGAACACTCCCAGCTCTCTCAGCCTTTCCTCATAGGAAAGATGCCCAAGTCCCTTCATCACCTTTGTGACCCTGTACTGGCCTTGCTCCAGTAAGTCCATATCTCTCTTGTACTGGAGAGCCCAGAACTGGACACGGCACTCCAGATGTGGCCTCACCAGTGCTGAATAAAGGGGAAGGATCACCTCCCTTGACCTGCTGGCAATACTTTGCCTGATGCAGCCAGGATGCCATTTGCTGCCTCTGCAGCAGAGGCACACTGCTGGCTCATGTTCAATCTGGTGTCCACTGACCCCCACAGGGCCTTCTATACAAAGCTGCTTTCCAGTCAGGTGGCCCACAGCATGTACTGGTGTATGGGGTAGGTCCTCCCCAGGCACAGGACTTTGCACTTCTCCTTCTTGAACTTCATTAAATTCCTCTTAGCCCAATTCTCTAGCCTGTCCAGCTCCATCTGAATGGCAGCACAACCATCTGGTGTGCCAGCAGCTCCTCCTGGTTTTGCATTGCCTGCAAATTTGTCTCTACTGAACTAAAGTTATGGCTTTTTCAGACCTTATCTTCAATTTTTCAGTTGAAAACTTGGTTTGAATTCTCATCCTGTCCTCCACTGAGCTTGCAACACTCTTAGCTTGGTATTGGTAAACTTAAGCCTACATTCCACTGTAACATCAAGTAAATGTACTGGTACCAGTGCCTGAAGGGGCTACAGGAAGGCTGGGGAGGGACTTTTTACAAGGGCAGGGAGTGATAGAACAAGGGGTAATGGCTTTAAACTGGCAAGGGGGAGATTTAGATGAGATATTAGGAAGAAATTCTTTCCCATGAAGGAGGTGAGACAGTGGCCCAGGTTGCCCAGAGAAGCTGTGGCTGCTCCTCCCTGGAAGTGTTCAAGGCCAGGTTGGATGAGGCTTTGAGCAACCTGGTCTAGTGGAAGGTGTCCCTGCTGATGGCAGGGGGGTTGGAACTGGATGAGCTTTAAGGTCCCTTCCCACCCAAACCAGTCTGTGATTCTGTGAAATGCAAAATAGTTTCAGGCCCATGGCGGACCCTTCAGAACCACATTAGATGACCCTTTAATCACTACAGTGCAAATTTATTAACTATTTTGTGTACAGTTTTGGTTTTCTCACAACAAAGTTGGGAATGCCAACACTACATGGTTTGTCAGGATCAGACTTCACTGGTTTCTTGACAGCACCTTGCCTTTGTTAGAAGCCTCGTTGCAATCAGGATGAATCCTGCTGCTGCTGCTTTCCTTATCTACCAGGCTGTTACTTCCCAACATTTTACACTGAGCTTTTGACGTGGTTGATTGTGATCTGCCTGTGTTCAGCCCTGTGCATCACCATCTTTCTCCTCAGACGTTTTAGAGTAAGAGGGAGAAATGTGATGAATGTAGCCATCAGAAACTTGCTGCTATGAGAAGACAGGGCTGTCCTCAGCTCTGAAGTCTGCTACTAATACTTGTTTCTTTTCCTGCTGGAATATACTGGAAAATCTGAGCACAATCCTGATGTGGTGCTGACTTTAAGAAACACACTGATCTGGTGCTAACTTTAGGAGACACGCTGATCTGGCTGTTGCTAACTTAGGAGATGTGCTGATCTGGTTGGTGCTAACTTCAGGAGACATTGCTTTTGTTTAGCTCTAGGTGTGTTCATATCGCCTCTGCCGAGGAGGCTCATTGCAAGACAATTGGATCCTCTTTGTGAAGGCAGAATGAACTTGGAAGTACTTTTTAAAAATGCTGATCATCTTTTTAGAAAGAAACAGAAGTCCCTTCCCCCAGGAATAGCAGGAATCAGTCTGAATCCCTCTCCAGTGCAAAGGCTGTTGAATGATTTTTTAATTTTATTTTATTTTTTATTTTTTTGTCATGGAAATGTGAACAATGTAGCTATTAAACAACTTATTCAGGCTGAAGTCAAAAGAACTTGAGGCAATGTGAGACAACACTTGTGAACTTTCTGTCCCTCAGGTTATCTTAGCTTGCTTAATCATGTTACCACCTGTGCTGATGACAGGGACCAATGCTGAGTTGGCTTCCTTAGTGAAGTCTCAGGAGACAGAGGACTTCTACTTCCTTGATGGGTAGCAAGCAGAGATGAAAGTCAGACAAGGTCATCATATCCTGATGTTATGGTGACCAGAAGTTTAACTCTGTTTGCTCAACTACTATTCTCTCAATTCTCCGATGCTGTTCTCTGCAGGTGGAAAGGAAGAGCTTGGACTTTGAGGAACACGTGAGTGTGTTGTCCTTGTCGTGCTGTAGTAGTGCTGCTAGCTCTTTTTAGGACCATGTGCTTTCAGAAGTGCTGTGTGGCAGGCTTGCTGCGGCACAGCTGAGGGCTCGGCAGCCTCTCTTGAGGCAGCAGCAAATGCCTCAAACTGGTACGTGGGTCACTGCTTTTGGATCTGTGTGATGTAAAAGACTTGCAATGAATTCTCTGTTATTCATCATGCCAACAAAACTGGGATCAATCTGAAATCCATTTCTCAGCTGAGGGGAAAGGGAAAAAAAAAAGTATTTTATGAGTAAAAGTGACCTTCTACCCGTTGTAGGAGTGCAGTTGTGGATCACCAGCCTGGGTTCTGGTGGCTAAGCCAGCCAGCACCCCCCCAGAGCCAGGGATGTGAACGGCACCATTCATCTTCCCTGTTTTTAACAGAACTGCAATGTGGAAAAGTTTTTAGCTTTTTACTAACAGTGGATATATTCTTCCTTATTTTTGATTACCAGAAATTAATTTTGAGATGAGGATTGCAAATAATTATAAAATATCCATCTAAGTAAACTGGCAGCTGTACATCCCATTTCCACTGCCCCTTTTGACTTCAGCAGTTGTTCTGTGAGGGAGATGCTCAGCATGTTCATGAAATGCCATTAAGAGCCATTACAGGGTGGCAAATTTGTCCCCGTAACTAATTGAATGATGTGTCATTTATAACTGGAGACCCGTAGGGTTTTGTTTTCTCTCAAAGCTTTAGTAATATTTCAATTCGTGACTAGAAGAGCTGGAATTAGGTTTTTAACTTTTTTAAACCTGTGAGAACTGTTTAGGTAACCATCTGTCTTGTAACTGCAGTCAATGTGTATATGGAACTGAGAAGCTGCATTGCCTTAGAGTGGATTCATTGAGGTCAAGTGTGGGCTGTTCGATTTATAACCAAAACACCTTCAATCTGTACTGAAATCTTGGAATTTTACATTATTAATGTATCTACCTAGGACCTCAAATACAAAATGTTCTTATTGTGTAATAGGTGATGGAAATATTTTCTCTTTAAAAGCATCAAAGCTGAGAAAGGTGGGTAAGACTTCTGGGCTGTGGCCACAGCCCTGCGGTGCTAACGTTTTGGTAACGGTTTTATATGGGACACTACAAAATCATATGAACTGTGCTCAACAATTATCTCTTCTTGAGGCTTCTCTTT